AAACTATAAACACAGCGGCGAAACTATAAACACAGAAGCCACACGGCTCAGTGTGTGAGCTCAAGCCCGCAGACCAAAGCGCGAGTATAACTCAGCCTTTAGCTACTTAAAGACTTGAAGCATCCTGTACTGGCTTAATTGCTCCTGCAGGAAGAGAAACACTTGAGCCCCTCTCCCAGCTTTATTGGAACGTGTTGCAGGCATCAAATTCAAAATGAGTGAATATTTGCAAAAAAACAATGGCATTTATCTGTCTCTGTAGTGTATTCAGTTGAATATAGGCTAAAAAGGAGTTTGAAGATGGTTTATTTAGAGAAAGCAAACCTCGAGCAGGAAAAAAGCAGTGGTGACAACGAAATATATAAAATTAGTCGTTCGGTTTGTCTCTGAGGTATTACTTCATAAGAGGAAATAGGTCTGAAGGTCACATGACTTACAGCCAGCTGAGACTGGAAAACAGCTGGTGTTTCACGTCAGACAAGTCTTGCATAACAAGTTATCTTCTAAACAAGTAAAGACCCACTTCATTTTTCATATTCACACCTCTTTAATGTAAATAAAATTACAGATAAAACAAACAGCTGCTGTGAAACTCCCAAAACTAACTTCCTTAAATGCCAGCTGTCTTTTCTGAAGACAAGTCTCTTTATTTTTAATTCTGAGGAAGCTTTAAAGATCATAGAGATCTGCTAAACCTTTGGCACCTGTTTTCATTATTCATCGCCTCCTCCACTGGGTCACTCTATGAGCAGCAGATATCTGTGTGTGTGTGTGTCGGCGAGCAGCTCTCAGTGTGCTTACCGTCTGGCAGAAGACCACGTCCCGGCGGTACTGCAGCGATAAGTCCATGGCGATGGTGGGGGCGCTGTCCTGCATCAGCAGGAAGACCATGGACTTCTTGGCCTTGTCGCTCATCATGGTGACGCACTCCGTGAGCGTGGTCAGGAGGGGGTACAGCGCCTCGCTCCACTCGCCTGGAAAATGAACACGAGATAAGAAAATCGGTTCACCGCAGCTCTGAAG